CCTAAAGATAATAGTATTTTTTTTTAAGAGGGGCAATTGCCTAAAAACTCCTATAATAAAGAGTAAAAAAAGGATGGAGGGGAACAAATTACCTAATATATATTAAATAAACAATTTTTTTAATTTTTGTAGGAGGGGGGAGGGGAGGCAATTGCCCTCCCTAGGGGCTAGGTGGTTCACTGTATACTCTTTGTAATACTCAAGCCTCAAGTTTACCAGACCTGTTGCACTCGCCTGACTCACTGTCATAGCTACAGAACACTTAATGATGTAGTAGATCGTCGGAAGACTCGATCTGCAAGAAGGATTTCGATTTTCCCAATCCAGGGAAGAAGAAGAAGAAAGCTTCAAAAGCTTCAAAGTGTATATTATATCATTCAATGACCTCCATTCTTTACAATAGCCAACTATTTAAAAAGGAAAATAGAACTATCTAGACTAAGGAAAGTAAACTAGTCTCTAAGCGTAATATAAGCTAAGATGTTCCTACATCATTCTCCCCTTGCTTTAAAAGAACTCGACTCCGTCGAGGCGCATCATCGGGAGATGGACATCATAATGAACCCTCCAGGGTCAAAAATTTTGCGTCTTCGATGCATGTCTACAAGCTCATTCCTTAGATTCATGAATTCCTTGGACCTTCCACAATTTTCCATACCTCCATAGGTAGAAATCAGAAGTTGACCAGCTCTTGCATTCCTTGATCCTAAACGTTGGACATGGAGTACGACAACCTGGACATCTTGAAGTCTGTTAGAATTGATTGCTTCAGTAATGAATAATACCTTGTGCATATTTGAAATAAGGATGTTCGGAGTATCTTCCAGATCATCAACTCCAAGTAACACAGTCCGGCCCTTAAACTGGTTGAGTAGTTCAACAACTTTAGCTTCGATCTCTGGAAGATCTTGTATATATTGAAGCTGCCTCTCGTGAACCCCAACAGGAAGTATTTTAATGCTAACTGGGCATCCATAATACTCGATTCCAACATAACCCTTCTTAGATTGATAAAAGAGGCCTATCATTCGGGTACAACATGAAAGAAAATGCCTTTTTCTCAAGAATGTTGGCAAGATCATAAGATGATAGCCATGAACCCAAACAAAGTCTTCTTCAGGGTTGATCACTTCCATGACCTTATCGGCAAAAATCTTGTTAACAGAAACATAAGCTTGCCATAGCGAGCGATCAAAGCGACCACCAAGGTCAGGAGAAAAAGGTAGCATATAGTGAAATAGAGGCCATAGCTGCTGCTTGCAGGAACCATGATAGAATCTGCTAAAGAGTTCAGGGGGCAGAAGTGTGGGGAAGCACTTGAAGGTCTCAAGAAGGGTTTGTGAAACATCATCTTGGTCCTTTGAATCAATCTCCTCTCTAAGACAGCCAATATACACAACTTCAACGTCTTCCCCAAGACCATCTTTGAGCTGAAGTAGCAAAGAATCCTCGTCCCAGCTAAAGTTCCAGCCACTGTTATCCGAGCTGCGATGAGCTCGAAGAGGGAGCTGATTGTGATGGAGCGGTTTCTGAACATTCCACTCCTCATTATGAGCATCCTCAATCTCCTCCGGTGACACCTGCTTCAAGTGATTACCGGAGCTGGACGTGACGAGGCGAGTGCCGATCGCAGAATCGGGTTGGATGTTGGATTTAAGGTTAAGGGCACGTGGGATTGAAATTTTGGGCAGAAGATGCGTGAGATGGGAATGGGGTTTGGGTCGCGAGGAGGTGTCTAGATCAACGATGGAGTCAGAATAGGAACAAGCTGTGACACGGGACACTGGGCGTGAGGGCAAATCTTATTTGGACATGGCGAATCGCTCTCCCTCGTTGTTATGCTCTCCCTCGTCAACGACAGACTGATTACAGGATGGAGAACTGGGATTGGCTTGCGAGAGATCATGCTCCACACCTGGAGCGAGATCGCGAGAGCAGAGTGGGTTCTCTGTCTGCTGCCGCCGGAGATCTAATCCCTCTTCCGCGGCGTCAATCTCGGCGTCAGGGCCGATCGCGAGTTGCAGCAACAAAGAATCCAGAGCTGGCGGTGAAGGACTTGTAGGAGGATCAGATGGTCCGGACGAAGGGAGATGCGTCGGATCACGGGAGGTAGCTGAGGCGGTAGCGAAGTCGGGTCGAGAGACCGTCTTGGACGCAAGCTGCGGAAGCGACGTCGCATTGTGGTTCTGCGCGGTCCACGGGCATGAGAGCATCATTGAGCTGGATTGAGGAAAAGCAGAGGGGAAGCTCTGTCGGTACGGCCCGTAATGGCGGATTGGGTTGACTGCCGGGTATGAGAATGTCCTCAGGCAGGTTTGGGAGTTCTGGCATACTGAAGACTTGTTCGATCGAACAATTAGCAATGTGTGTGGGTTTCTTTCGGGAAGAAAATGTCTCTAACGCTGCCTACGGTGGAGACGACGGCTTGGCCGATGGGACAACGTTGGGAACCTTGACGACCTCCAGCAGCATTTTCTGTCCCGGTGGATTCCGCAATGGTCGTGGGATTTTGCGGAGTGGAAGGAGTTGCGGGAGGTGTGGAGAGGGAGGATGCGCCTGCAGCGACGGTATAAATTTGTTGGAACGGCTTCAGCTCATTGCTCTGGCTGTGATCAGCGACCTGTTGCATCTTGCGTGGACGGGAGGAGTTGGGAGACGGACGGTGTTGGAATGGAGGGGGATCGCCCCATCGCAACAGATACTCTGGCGGTGGGTCACGCCATCGCAGAGGGAGTTCGACGGGGCGTAGTCATCAATGACGGTGGGAGTATGACGAGACTGATGGCGTCTACGTGAAGTGGACGAGGAGATCGAAGAAGAAGAATGCCTCGGTATGTTTGCAGACGACATTCGCATCTTCCTTATTGACCGAAGGGTTTCGCGAATCCGATCAAGGTTTCTGTCTATCTGATTGAGCGATTTCTTCAACTGAGCTTGGTAGAAGGCGATCCGGCTTTCAGCATCGTCGACAGCCCACCTTCCTTGACGTCGATCGTCATCGACCGCCAATCTTGTTTTGCGGCTTCGATCGTCGTCGGCAGCCGACCTTCTTCCGCAGTCCATCGATCTTCACAAGCTCCAAGCTCTGATACCAACTGATGTAGTGGATCATCGGAAGACTCGATCTGCAAGAAGGATTTCGGTTTTCCCAATCCAGGGAAGAAGAAGAAGAAAGCTTTAAAAGCTTCAAAGTGTATATTATATCATTCAATGACCTCCATTCTTTACAATAGCCAACTATTTAAAGAGGAAAATGGAACTATCTAGACTAAGGAAAGTAAAGTAGTCTCTAAGCGTAATATAAGCTAAGATGTTCCTACATCACTTAATCTCAACAATTTTTTCTATAATAACCTTATTCTTCTTACAACCGTTAGATGTATTAATGCCTTGGTTATGGATGCACTTATAATAGTGATATACTACTACATGAAAGTATTGAATAAATGAATATTTTTACTTCTAAGCTATGATCTTCTTCATCTCTTTGTTGTTTCATTTTTGTTCATATCAATTTTCATTGGCTATATACCTAATGATTGAGATTACATAGAAGCCGATGTCTTCTTTAGAACTAAGATCGACATAAATGTGTGGAGAGTAAAATAAATTTAGTCATCTTAAAAAGCTATAATGAGTTCTCATGATATATATTAAAGCATTTTATCCTTCACTAAAAGGCTAAAATTTTGAATTATTCTATTATATTTCGATAAGATCGTTGAAAAATTACGAACTTATTATAAGTAATATTGAAGTGATGGAAATGATCATTGTCTTTCAATAGTATGTATTTGCTCTTTTGCTAAAATTAAGTACAATATGTGGGTTCAACAAAATTACTTCTATTAGGTGCTCATCTATTAAAGGGCTACTTATAAAAAGAATAGTGTAAGACATGTTTTTTTTTTTTTTTAATAATTATATTTTAGTTAGTGCAACTAAAAAAATAGTTTGTTAATTAGGAGTTGACTTATAAACAAACTAGGTAAAATTTGAGAGATGTTTCAATGTTAGACATATATAACTTAACATATATATATAACACTAACACCATATTAAAAAATCAATGTTATCTCATATTTTTTTATATTACCTTTTAAAGGAGTTATACACACATAACATCTCAAACATTTATATTTATAATACTAACATCTTTGTCATTTTTTCAATATCAAACTCATTTACTTGTATGTGCCATAACGAATTCGTTAATAATTTATTGATAATAAAAAATATATATTAAATTTTTATTGTGAATTTTGATATTTGAGTGCTAATTAAAAAAATTAAATAATAAAATTTTAACTTTATAAATAATTAATATTTAAATATAATGTATATATAATTGCCAATATTTTTTAATCAATTTAATTAATTTTTATCTTCCACTTCTCTCTTCATCAAATACATATAAGTAACAATAAGATTTGATAACGTTTTTTTATATTAATGACATTAATGAAAGCTATTTTTAAACATTTTTAAGTGTCTGACATCAATGCCAAAGTTTTATATTCATTGCTGTTGTTGTATAATTATTTTTTTTTCATAATTATCTACATTGAATTTATTAGCATTTTTTATGTTGATAGTTGCCATTATAAATGAAATGTTTAATGGCAATTTATGTATGTTATTTTTTTTTTCTTCTTTAATTTTTTTTTTTCACTCGACCGAAAGAGATTTCTTCAACGAAAGGAAGCAGCAAATTCCTTACTTGCACTATAATTTTCAATATCAACTCTCTCATTGTCTGTAGCTTTTTCTCTCGCTTTCTCCATCTGATTTCTCGATCGTAGTTCGTTTTCAGACTTTGGTCAAATACAGGTATCCACTCGATTATTCCTCTAAAAATCAGGATTTTCCCCTTAGAATCTTCAAGCAGGAGGTATTGCAGGGGATCATGTAAACGAAAGACTTCTTTTGACTTGGTAAATTTCTTCCGTAAGTCATGGTTCTGGGTTTGAACGGCCGTCTTAATGCGAAAGAAGGTACGACAATTAATACCCCGCACTTTGTTGTCTGGTTGTCTTCTCGTTCTTTCTTTATGGTGGATGTGGATCCTCTCCATATATTATCGTAGTCGGACGGCTCAATTTTCACCATGCCAGTCGCTTATTCCACTTTGGGCGGCTGCTGGGATTGAATATGCCTTTTCGTTTTTTGTTTTTCTGAAGCACGGTGATTTAGGGAGAATTAGGAGGTTCTTTGTCCATGGAGGGTTGGTGAGGGGCGCTTGATTTATTGGCCCGATAAGAGGTAGATGAGGTTCAAAGGGGAATTTTTATCCGTGGGGTGATATTTGGTGGAATAAGTGAGTTTTCTTCTTCCTTATAGCAGGCATCCAAGGTTAGGGTTTCCAAGGACGTGAAAATCCATAACTGGGCAGAGCTTGGAAGACGCGACTAATTGTTTTATGGAGGTATAAAAAGATATGATACTTTTTTTCTGAAAATAAAGTGGAAGTTTAATGTTTTAAATGTTCTGGATTTGAATGATACATTTGTATTAACCTCTGTGGAGCGGTTCGCATTTGCATAGGTTTGGTTGGTTCCGCCAAGAGAGTGCCAGTTTGAGTTGAATTTAGCGGGTTTCTGGCATGACTTTGGCTGCTTGTTAGTCACGACATTTTTGCTTGTCATGTATTAAAGCTGTAATTTAATTGTTATATTCATCAATTTTGTTTAGTTTTTAAGTTTCAATGCTTTATTTGTGCTGAATTGTTGGAGCTTACTTTGCTAAGAAATAAGTTTTTTTTTTATTTTTTTTTTTAACACTTTGCTACGTGCTATTTGATCGATTTTCTTTTAATTAAGTAGGATTCTTTGATATGGGATGTGAGTTCACGCAACATTTTTTATTCTAATCTTACTTGGATTCTTCTAAGTTTAATTGTATTGGCGATTTGTTTTATGACTTTGGTTAGATTTTGATGAGATGAAATGTCTTTGTTACATGGTTAGATCACCTCAGTCATGGTTTTTCCTGTTTCTCTTTCTTGCCAGATCTTTTATTTATTTAAATTTTCTGAAGGGTGTTTTCTGTTTTCTCAAATTAGAATGAAGGATAAAAAATGGATCAAGGCACTGAGGATCTTTTCTAAATTTGATCCCCGTGAAAAAATGAAGTGCTTGAATCCTGGGATGCATCTTAAAGATGAAATGGTTACTATAGATTTTTCAGCGAGTGAACAATCTTCACGAATTGATGATGGTGAGAGGAGATCTGAAACTAGTAACATTGAAGAGGCCGAGTCTTCCCTTCGTGAAGGTGGTTGCCTCAACTATGAGGTCAGTCTCTCTCATGTTGTTTTTTGTTCTTTAAAGTCATGTCAGCCTGTTCGAAAACTTGTATTGATGTTTATTGCGTACAATAAACGCACAATAGACACATGATGCATGCTATGTGCTTGGTTAAATTAATTTGAATGTGTACGCTTGTATATTTGGAATATGATAATTGTTATTTGTGCATTTGGTGTGCTCCAAATTATTTAAAGGTAGGCTACTAGCTGAAGAAACTCAGTTGCATATCATGGCTATAAATATATAATAACGCCTATTATTTGTAGACAATTGCAGGCCTAAAGAGTATACCTTGTGAACAAAGCTAACTGTGGATATGATGAGGGATTCACAAGACATAATACCTGCATTGTAATTTGATTATTTTTGTGAAATGAATGTATGACCTCTAGGTTTTAGCTAATCTAACCTTTGCTTATATGATTATCCTCACATTATTCAACAAATATGAACATCAATCAAGTACCTAACCACTTAGAGCACATAACCACTACTTCATAATTAAAGCTAGGATTTCCTTAAAATATGATAACGTATTGATGAAAATGAAAAGAAATAAAAAAATTTAGATTGTTGAATCTGGAACAGCTACTTTTGAAGTAACATAAAGAAAATCAACTTGTAGAGGGGTTTATAGCCAATCATTTTCCTTTTTGAAATAGAATAGATACTTCATTGGCCTATATTATGATGAATTGGATATGATGTATTTGATCCATGCATCATATTATGGAAAATGGACATAAATATTCTCTTGCTCATACTTTTAGTATAGAGTAAATACACTGGGCAAGATCATAAGCATTTTGTACCTATATTAACTTCTAGTTTACTTGAACATGCTTGGGATAAACTGATAAAGTAAAATAGTTATCTTATAGAAGTTACCATTATAACATTTCATATGTTACCTACATCATCATCATCATCATCATCATTATTATATGATGTATCTTAATTATTTGTGTTCAACTGTATGTATCCTCATTCTCATGTTATTTCTACTTATGTTGCTTGGGGTGCAAAACCTTTTCTATACTAAACAATTTGCACGAGTTCTATCCATGTTACTTTTAAATGCGTATTTTGGAAACTCATCCTTGTGAAAATTATAAGCCACATTTTTTTTAATGAAGGTGAATGTATTGCTAAGATTCTCATGACTTGTTTCTTGTTGTCAAGTAGTTAGTCTTTCTACAAAATAGTGGTATCCAAGCTTGGAAACATTATGTTGGCTTTTGAATTAATTATTCTTATGTTGATTGTAAATATACTTTTCTAATAGCTTTGTTGGCTCCTTATAGTGCTAGTAAAGCTTTGTTGTAAAAATATGAAGTGAATGAAAGAATACTAATTGAGGCTAGAGGTTTTGTGAAGGCGCTAAGGTCCGTAATGATTTGAGGTTGATGTGCTCGTCTTTTTCACATATGATTCTAACTTGTTAAATAACATAATAGTGTCATTATAATTAGGAACTTATGTGGCTTAGAAGTACCATTTGCAACATATTCAACACAAAATTTTAGACTATCAAAAAATACCATCAAAACAACATTGTAACTGAGAGTCTGAGACTAGCTATTTGAAAATACTATTTCACAAAGTAGGTTTTCTTAATGCTAGAAGATATTCAAATTTGTCTTTAGATATAAGTAAAAACCAATTCATTCATAATTTCATATGCACAAGTTGTTATGAATGTAATAAGATAATGTTGAAAGGGATTAAAAAAAAAAAATCCTTATTACTCTTGTCCTGCTCAAAACTCAAGGATTCCTGGTCCTACATGCCCTTCCTCTCTTGGTTGAATCTGTGGAAAGCTTATAAGGATTATTTTAATGTGTATTATTGTCATTTTGTTTTGTTTGTTTTCTAGTTAGGAAATTATCTAATGCTGGAATTCTGTTTCCCAATTTGGAATATTTTAATTAACAGAAAAAAAAAATCACTGTTTGGCTGTGATTTTCTAATGTAAATTACCTTGTTTGCCTAATAATTTACTGCTCGCCTCCTTACTAGAGTAGGTGTTTTAATTATACCTAGCCATTCAGCTAAGTTTAATTGAAATAAAATGAAATTGTATGTTCTCTTCCTCCTCTTCTTATGTATGAATTTCACATTGCATGAAATTGTTTGTGGAGGCACGATGGATGACAACCACGGAAATCTCTTACTAGGACGGGTAGGGATGAGGAGAAGAATGGTTCTTTAATAACTCCAAACATCTATTAATCCCACTGAATCTTTTGATAATTTTCTCTTCAAATTGCCATGTGTAAGTTAAATAATAAGAAATTTCAACGTTCTCAATCCCCATGTTTATTTAAGGATGAGGAAATATAGGGCATCTTTTTGGGACCGTAAGAAGACTAGAGTCAACCGATTCTACCTATTTATCTTGGGACAAAATGGTGTTTTTATTTCATCTTGGCTCATCAACTCAATGGAGGAACATATTGTCTTAATATATTTGGTGCATACCATTTCAAAGGCCATTTAGAACTAGGTCAAGTTCACATATTTGGATATTGAAAATTCTACGAAATTATGTGATCTAAGAGACCAAGTTTAGGATCTCAAACAAGGAAGCATTGCACTCATCAATTATTATATTTGCCCTCGACAAAATTTAGCAAAAGATGAACATGTTTGAATCAATTGATTGGGGCAACGAATGTGCTGGAAAATACATGATGTTGGTGGATAAAACTTGGACCTATGAATTCCTTGCTAGCCTTAACAAAGACCTTGTTGAAATTCATCGGAAGATATTAGGAATCTGACTATTATCACAAATTGAAGAAGTTTTTGCTGAAGCATGCATAGAAGAAACTCAAAGAACCTTTCAAAGGTAAGGATTGTTTCTCAGGGACCACAAACAAAATTAGGGGTTTGATCATTTCTATAACTTTATGAATACAAAAAAGGGTAATTTATTATGTGATTTTTGAAAAAAAATTTGTGTGAAATAAATTTGGAAATTGCCTGTTAAACCAACTAGTTGTGACAAATCCAAACAAATTGGGAACACACGCAATGATGCCCATGCCTATTAGACCAACACCAAGAACTCCATTTAAACATTTTGAAATTATTAAGCGCTAAAAACCTGAATAAAGAGCACCTTAGATGTCTCGAATTAAGAGCACCTTTGATGTCTCTACAAACTTCTCATATCTAAAAAAGCTACTAACACATCCTTAATTGCTGATAAAGTTAAGTCTCCTTCAGCTCTATGAAAGATTGTACAAAATTCTTTTTCTTGTACACTCCTATCCCTAGCCAAATCAAAGTAAGAATTTTTTTATGTTTCCTTATCTCTAATAGCTGGAATTGGAACCATCAAAATTAACTCTAAAATTTTCTTGAAATCTATTATTTTTAATTCCTGACCTGATATGTAGCATTTTGTTTCTTATTGATATTTTTAAAGATTGTAGCTGCAAGGTTGTTTTATCAAATGATCATTGCGATTTTGAGATTGAGGAAGAAGATTGTTATGCTAGTGTGCAAAGAGGGCTATACTACTTTAATGAGGACGTCGATGGAGTGAAACAAGCCCATACTGTTAATTGGAAATCTTCCTCTTCTGAGAAAAGATAAAATCATTTTTTGTCACCTTTCAACTTTTTAAATTTCCCATACCAACATTTGTTATGTAAGAATGAGTATGTTCTTTGATATGAAGTCAGTCAATTAGCCAAAAATCAAAGATCTATTTTCCTACAAACTCTCTATAAAGATAGCAAATCTTTTACTCATGCATACAATGATGATTGGGGTACTTCCCATTCTCAAAATATTCACCTCAAACATGGTTAATCACTTTTATAGATGAACATAATTGAATATGTTGGATGTATCTAATTAAACACATATTTGTTGCTAGTAGGTTTTCAAGTACTTTCACAGTTTAGTTAAAATTCAATACTCTTATAGGATTTAAATTCTTCATGTTGATAGAGGCACAAAGTATTTTAATCCAATATTAGAAAGTTACTTAAGGCAAAATGGAATTGTGCATCAAAGTGCCTACTCTAATCGACCCTAACAAATGGCATTGTTAGAAAAAAAAAATGTCTCCTTGAGGTTGATCTATTATGTTCACCACCATTGTTTAAAATTGTGCAATATGAGGCTTGGCTCAGTGTAATTTCAGTGAAAAATGCATTGGGGCTTACATCTCAAGTTTTTTTTTATGAGGCTTGTGTCTCAACTTGATTGAGGCCAGTCTTGAGGCGCGCCTCGCCTCATTAGCATGAGGCTTATGCCTTGCTGTGGAAGCAAACAAGAGGAGAAAATAGAGAACTAGAAAGCAATGTAACAGTAGAAATGCTAAGCAGCAAATTCGTTTTGATAATAAAAAAAGTCTACTAGAACCCAAACTCCTCAGCCGCATATGAGCAGGGAGAGATACTAAGAAAGCCATAACAGAGAAAAAGGTAGAAAATGTCCTATAGTGCTAAAAGTAGTTAAGGAGGTAGTGGGAAAAAGCACTCTAACGGTAAAAGAAGAGATACTTCCCAAGCCTAAACCTGCAGCACACCATAAGCTAAATGATACCACATCAGTTCTCCCCCTCTGTAACAGGGTTCGAGTCCGTCGAATCAATTTCTGTGTCCGCGCCATCTGTAGGATGGAAGGGACTGATATCAGCGACGTTGAAGGTTGATGACGTAAGGACGTCGGAAGGTAGCTCTACGACGTAAGCATTGTCGCTGATCTTGTGTTTGATGGTCACCGGTCCTAGCTTTCTTGGAGCAAGCTTTGAATAAGTGCCGGCTGGGTACCTTTCCTTCCTCATACGCACCATGACTAGATCGCCGACCCCCTTAGTGAGTACATACAGATGATTTTTGCATTGTCGCTAACTATTTCAGCCTTTTGTAGAAATTAAATGTGGGTGAGTAGGGAATTGAGAAAGGAAGAACTCGAAGTTGAACTTAATATTATATGATACTTTTATACAATTCCTATATTTAATATTTGTATTTTTATTATATTTCACTTAATTTATCACTGTCACTTTATGTATTGTGTAATTTTTTGTTCCATATGTATGTCAATTTTTCATTTTATAGTTTAATAGAAAGTTAATATGTTACCCTGTTGACCCCGGGCAGAACAAAAAAATATAAAACAAACAAAAAAAAAATCGCATACTTGTTCGATCGCACATTGTCGCCATCCCGTGCACGTTCGACGTCGCATCTCGCCATACCTTTGCACGTCGTCGCTCGTCATTAAATAGCAGAGAAATGAAGTGTTCGGGTCTGCCGCTCTTTCCTCTTCCTCTCGCGCACTTCTTCGTTGTTTGGCGTTGTTGCTTCGCAGGAGGTATAGAGTTTGCAAGCGTCGCTACTTCGGCTCCTTAGTAGCTGTACGACTACGCCCCCTCTACAACTTTGCCTTCCTGTCAGTGCAGAAATCGCGACATCTTGATCGGAAGCCACAACGTGAGCTCGCCATTGTGAGGGTAACTTTCCACCCTTGGCGTGTTTCTTCGGCCCTTCGGTGTTGTTCGACTTCGCTCATCCGAAGACGTTCCCTTCTTGTCCAACCGGGAGTTATGACAGCTCGATCGGAAGCAACAAAGGAGCTCGCTCGCTGTAAAGGAGATTGCATATGTCGCTTCTCCGGCTTCCTTGTGGCTATTCGACTATTCTCCCTCGTCAACGTTCCATTTCTATAGGATCGGAAGCTACAACATTTTGATCGGAGGTTGCAATGGGAGCTCGCCAAATGAGAGGGTAACTTTCTGTCTTTCCCACGCTTCTTCGGTCGAATCCAATAAACCTGCCGAACTCAAGGGATTTATGCAAAAAGAAGGAAACAAAGGATTCTTTATGCTGCGAGATTTACAGAACATAATCTGCTCAAATCTGGCACAAATCTCATATAAATCTTGCTTTTTTTAAATTAATTATTTTAAATATAATTGATTATTAATAATAATAATTAAGTATATCTAATTATAATTGAATAGTTAGTTATATTTAATCACAATTAATGATGATTAGTTTTAATTAAAATAAATTATAATTATAGTTAATTATAATTTTTGATAATTAACTATAATTATTTAAAATTAATTATAATTAATTGTTTTAATTTAAATTAATTATTATTAATTATAAATGATTAACTGTTAATTATAAATAATTATTTTTAAAATATAGTCCATTATTATTAGAATCAATTTATTTAATTATAATTAATAAAAAAGAAAAGAAAAGAAAATTCCTCTCTTACCTCGGTGTGCGTACATGCTTTTCTCTAGCATGGTGGGAAGGGAACCCAGTGCGACGCTTACGACGAGGTAGGTGTGCGGCCCTTAAACCCAAAATCCTATATTCGACGTTTGTGTCGAGCCAGCAAACCACCCATACATGCTTTTCTCTAGCGTGGTGGGAAGGGAACTTGGTGCAACACCTACGGCTAGGCAGGTAGGCGTGGTGCACGCTTTTCTTAGCCTGGTCGGGATAATCTTAAGTACCCGTATGCGGCTCTGTACCTGCGGGGAAACAAATGCTTCTTTTTTGCAACAGGTACCGAAGCCCCATACACGCCTTTCTTTGACATATTGAGATTGAAGATTTCACGGCCGTGGTGTCCGAGGATACCTACCGTACATGCTTTTCTCTAGCGTGGCGGGAGGCCCAATTTTTTTGTAGTTTTCCTCTAAACGGGGGAGATGTCGGAAGGTTGCCGAAATTTCGGGTGAACGCAAGATCACACTTGAAACTTATTTGGACTCAAATGAACAGTGGACTTGTGAACTTGAAGATGAGCATAACTCAAATTATTGATAATAAAGGCTTGAACTTAATGAAATTGAAATAAAAGCCTAAGCTTGGACTTAAACAAACTAAGCAGAAGACTTGGACACATACATACGTCCTATATTTGAATCAAATGATGAATATATGAATTGAGACTTAAATTGCACAAAGGACTCATAAATTTGGACTGAGCTGAATGTAAAGAACTCGAATTGAATGAACTGAAGGGGACTGTGCTTAAAAGCCATTGAACAAGAATGAACTTTAACAAATGTGAACCACAGTGAGCTCGAACAAACTACAGAGGACATGAAATTGATTTGAACTTGAACTTGATACAAGAGACTTGAACAATCAAAATAAAAGATCCTTTGTTATTCAAACATCACTTTTCTTCATCTAGTTGAGAAAATAGAAGACTTGTGACACTCAACATGGCTCATCTACATGCAAGCAATCATGTCCATTTGTTACAAACACAAGATCAAAATGCATTTAAGTTTATTGAGCCCTACAAGCAGTGGAGGTCAAACTGTATGAAGAAATTACCAATGAGTGGAGTTTACCCAACACTCATTATACACAATGTAACACATTTGAAGCACATACGAGTCCCTACGAGGTCAAATGCACCATACTTGCAAGGGCTACAGATGGTTGCAGAATGCATATGTGTATCATATATGCATTATTGAAAACCTCAATACCAATAATAATTCGCCTGTTGATTGAAGAAGATGACACTGGAGATCAATGGCAGAGGACCCATCGCCGCAAATAAGTTGTGAATGACAAAGGTGGACATAATGCAGATGTAATAGACTCATATGACAATCCCTACAAGATTGAGATGAAAACACTGTCAATTGATAGTGGAAGACCCGTCATTGCAAGCAAGTAGAAAAAACCATCTGAGATTGGTAAAAGGTGAATATGATGCAGGAATAATGATTCTTCTACAAACACTTCCAAGATGTCGTAGTGAATTGACAGTGTTGTACTTATTTGCAAGTTACATCCTGTATAAGTCCGATACACTGTAGACTTTGAAAATAGTTCTTTTCAAGGCAGTGACCACAAATTTCAAGGACCTCCCGGTGAATGCTAAAGGGGAGTCAACATCAAGATGATGAGATGCCTCATGACATCCAGATAATAACGCCACCGGATCTGCAATATCCATGCAAGCGAACAGAAGGCGTTTACAAATATTTCAAAGTACCCCCGTACATGCACTGTAATATGTATGCACATAGGTACACTAAAGAGGTAAATACAATCGCGACCCGCATGGGCCCCGACGAGCGTTTTACAAGTACACACGTGATGTCTAGGGACGCTGCGCGGGTCAATAAGTGAATTCAAGTTCGAACCCGATCCTTCTATGCGGATCAATAGGAGTCGACAGGGTTCGAACCATAAAACAAATATATGGTTGCATCGATCGATATATTTATCTTAATACATTCATATTAGGCCTTCAAGACCTATAACAATGAAAATTCACAAATAAAGGCATAAAGCCTACGAAACTCGATCCTCTGTCGATAGCCATACAGAGTCGACAATATCACTAGGATCAATTCTCAAACAATCTCCTACCATTAAGGACGTTGTATGTGTCCTCTGTCTGACGGTTTTGCTGCCAAATGACACTGCAGGATAAATGGTTATGATCTGGGGTCCTCTGAACCGAGTGGTTTTGTCGCCAAATGGCACCACAAAATACCGGTTATGGCCAGCGCCAATACGCTCCTTAGTGTCATCAAATCCTTGAGATAAGAATCAATATGATATGATCGATAGGGCACAAAGCTTAGTAAGGGTATTTACAATGCGTTAAAACTCCCCCGACGAAAGAAAAGCAACAGCGGGTGGAGGCCGGGGCCGAATTTTTGGAGCCACACATCCTTTAACATATTATTTGGATATTATATAAAAAATCAATTTTAATCTTTATTTGCACTTTACCTTGAGGCTTACGCCTTGCCTCACGAACAAAAAATGCCTCAATACCCAATTGAGCAATTTTAAACCTTGTTCATTGCCAATACACCCAAAATTTTTTGGGGAGATGCTGATCTAATTGCTTGTTATCTCATTAACCAAAAATCTATTAATGTTATTCATTTTAAAACACCAACAAGTGTTTTCTCCAAAGGTTTCTCAAAACCCATATGGTGACGTGCCTATAAAATTCTTTGGATGCTTCTCCTTTGTTCACGATCATGAGCTCAACAGAACAAACTTGATTCAAAAGCTTTCAAATATATCTTCTTGGAGTATGGTGCCAACCAAAAAGGTTATGAATGAAGAAGACTACATATTTTCATATTCCAATAGAAGAGGTACAATATTTATAGTCTAAGTTGAGTCTAGAGTAGAAAAAAAAGGTTAAGAAGAAAATCAGATTGCAATCAACCCAACAAAGAGGGATAAACATGAATGAAATTGGCATAATTGTTTAAAACAAATTTGGGAATGAATGTAACAAATAAACCTATTTCTTACAAGCTAGTAAACATGTAGCAAGGTTCTTGTATGGTAGGCGGATGAATAGCTGTCAGGCTTTTATAGAAGGCTATAGAGGTGCTAGTAGGAGGTGGTAATACAGACGATAATATGGGGAGCAGGTTGCAGTCCTAGTGTGAGCTGGTGAATGGTGGCACGAGTTGGAATTGTGGTGGTTTGTTTGCAGCATTTTCACAGAGTCCCTCAAGTTGTGAATATATATTTATCATTCCTAGTTTGAAAGTAAGGTTCTCAAATTGTGATTAATTAAGAGCTTAGTAAGGGTATTTGCAATTTGAAGTTTTGTTGGAGTATAATTAGCTTGGATGGTTGGTTATTATTATTATTATTATTATTTTTATAAAGTGTCTTTCAATTTTAACATGCTTAGTCCGGCCTTGGTGGACAGGCTTATTAACAATGTTTATAGCCCTTGATTGTGCGGTTCAATTGAATATTAATATTATAGATTAGTATGGCTTTATTCAGAGTGCAATTTGTTCTCAATATATATAAATTTGTTATGAACAAGTTAAGTCTGCTTGTTTTATTAGGCATGCTGAGCTTCTTTTAATATTTTTCAATTTTTGTAGGAGGCAAGAGCCTTGCTTGGAAGGTTGGAGTATCAAAGAGGAAACATAGAAGCCGCACTTCATGTATTTGATGGAATTGATATTGCTGCGGTAACACCTAAAATTAAGATCTCTATTGCTAGAAGAATAGGGCGTCATAAGTCAAAGTTACATTGGGATGCACCACCCATGTCAATACATGCAGTCAGTTTACTTATGGAGGCTATATTTCTTAAAGCAAGGGCACTCCATGACCTTGGCAAATTTGTAGGTAAACCCTAAAATATAATTTTAAAGGCATTTTCTTATGTATTTTTTTTATCTTTTATGATGTCTTCTTCTTTTTATAGTTGTTTGAGCTTACTTAACATACAAATTAATGCCCAATACTTCTCTCTAATTATCATTTTATTCTGCTGGGCTGTTGTAATTAAAGGCATCGTGTTTTGTTTCCTAAAAGAATACTTAGATTTAATAATCTATGGTAGCTTATCTTTTCCTTTGTTAGAGTTGATAAGAAACTTATTTTTTCGATGATCTATTTTAATAACGTTGTGCTTCAATATAGCATTTTCTTAATACATAAGCATCAATAAAGAAGTGCAGATCATCCATCGTACTATTTATCCTGAGCACAATAAACCAATAATAAATTTTCAAATAAAATCTTTGAAAATCTGTTTGAGATCTCCAAGCAAAAATTTTATTTTGGGTAAATTAATTTATTTGTTTGCTGGTTCTATTTGTTTCGAAATTTCTGCTATAATTCAAGGATATTTACAATTTAATTATCAATTGAGCTTAAGCTCTACTATTGTCTGTTTTCATTTAAAGAAAGTTTTTGATGCAATGGGTAACTTGTGACTTATGAATTCTCTATTTACCTTTGCATGAAAGCATATGACACATCATAGTAATTAATTTAGGAATCTTACTTCATAGCATGCCCCCACGTAGTGGGATAAAGGCTTGATATTGTTGTTGTTGTTACTTCATAGCATGTGAACGGATTATTCGAAAGCGGTTGAGTCATGATATAACGAGTGATTATATGCATGAACAATGATATAATTCCAGAAGATTTTTTTCCATTACCTACAATCCCTTAAATGTGCATCTATATCCTTTTTATACATGTTGCAAGTGCTCATTTGGTTGCTTCATAGATAGACACCTTTATTTTGAGAAAGTGTTGATTTTGCTTTCACTCGTTTTGAGTGTAATGGAAATCCTCATTTTTTTAGGGTTTTAATGGTTTTTGTAGAGTTTAAAATCAAACAATGGAATCTAGCAAACTCCTTATTTTTCAAATATGTTTCCTAACATCAAGAAACCAAATATGTTTCCTTACGATAAAGCTATTCAAGGCCAAACTGGCACAGTTCAACAATTCGTATAATTACTGCAACCAATGGAGTCCATTCTCCATGCGATACGTTTGGGTGGTTCTTCCAGCTCCATAATAGAAAAATGTCTCCGCGTGACACTTCCTTATTGGAGATTGAATTCCTCTGGTTCTATAATCCCAAAACTGAACTGTCCTGTACTAGTTAAACAAGATATTTTCCAATACTTATCAACTACATACAAATTCACAATTTTGTGAGGCGAATGCTACACTCTCCCTCTAATGCTTGTAGAAACATTTTCAAAGTTTAACAGTCCAGTAATCAATATTCACACATATCTTTGCTCCCAAAAGTATAATATGCTTAGCAAGCTGATTGCCATAACAAATATGTCAAATAAAGGTGATTATATATTATACATTGATGGGTAAAGATATAAGAGTCTGAAAACTTTGTGTGAGTTTCACCTTTTGAAAGAGATAAACACAAATTTACATTAGTTGTGGAATCAAAATGTGCAATAAAAGATAAAAAATAAGAAGCTTTGTTATAAAAATTTGTTTGGATTTAAAAACTTAAAAATTAGGAAAGTTATAAAAGGGTCCGTAAGGAATCTAAGAAAGCAATAAACGATGAAAAAAATTTAGCTTTTAATGATTTATGTAATAAATTAGATATTAAGGAGGATGAAAGATGTATCTTTAAACTAATCGAACAAAGAGATAGGAGAAGTAAGAATTTAATTCAAGTGAAGTGCATCAAGGATTAAGATAAAAAAGTGCTTTTATTAGAAGAGGATATTTAACAAATGTGGATGCGATATTTTGATAAGTTTTTCGAATATGATTTACTTTAGTGACCCTAACACCTTAAATGAAAATAGAGATTTTTGTTTTTATCTTTGTATTTGTAAAACCAAAGTTTGAGAGACTTCAAAGAAAATGAAGTTTGGAAAAACCATTGGACCTGATGATATTCTAATAGAGGTGTGGAAATGCTTAGGAAATGAAGAAATTTCTAGGTTTGCAAAACTTTTCAATATTATTTTGAAGACTAAAAAGATACCAAAAAAGTTGAGGAGTGTGTTGATTCCTATTTTTAAGAAAAATGTGATGCACAAGATTGCGAATTATAGAAGAATTAAGTTAATGTGCCATACTTTAATATGAGAGAGAGTTATTGAGCATAGCTTACGACATAATACTAGTATTTCACAAAATCAATTTGGATTCATACTGGGTAGGTGTATTATGGAAGATATACATTTATTAAGAGGTTTGATGAAGTGTAGAGATAATAAAGAGGATTCACATATGATATTTATTGAGTTAGAGAAAACATATGATAAAGATCCAAGGAAATTACTCTGGAGAATTTTAGAAAAGAAAAGAGTTAATAATGATTATATTCAAGTCTTTAAAGATATATATGCAGGAGCTTTTACTTGTGTTCAAACACAAGATTGTTTGACCAATTATTTTCCTATTTCATTTGTTACATCAAGGATTAGCTTTAAGCCTATATCTTTTTGCTTTAGTTATGGATGTTCTTACTAGACATTGACAGGAGGATGTCCCATACCTGTTGACGGTGAATGTCGCACTATGGTGCAAAGGTCCCTTTGGAGCCATGGCGCATAGCGCATGGCACGGCGCGCGTCATTTTTAACATGACGCAAACTATATAAGAATTATAAAATAATAAGCATGAATATGAAATATCATTAAAAATGAAAGACAAGCTATCCAAGAGACGAGAATTCACATTTCAAGTCTTCACCCCTTCCTCCTCTCCTATAGAGTCCAATGTCTCCCAATCAAAACATGCACTCATGAAGAAAACTTATACAAAACATGCACTAATGAAGAAGCAAACTAACACTAACAATTATTATTAAAGATGATGAATACAACAATATGCCGAGCTGCTGGGGGTCCAAGGGGGCGCTGCCTCCTGGCGGGGACCTGCGGTACCGAGCATGTACATAGCGGTACTGAGCATTTTTTTTTTAAATTTTAAGAGTTGGACGCTGCTAAACCATGGTTGCTAGTTAAATACTTCAAGTAGCAATCAATAAGAATCTTATCTGTTAAGTTGTAAATTCTTGTAAAAAATATTCATAAGTATAATGAAATTTAAAAACAATTTGGTGCGCTATTTTGCAAGGTGCGTTATGCGCCATGTTTCACATGTGGCGCAAATAACGCACACTATTTTAAACACATGCGTCTAGCCATGAACATGGCGCCGTAGGTGCGACGCGCCGCGCTGTGCGCCATGGCGCGTGCTATTTTGCGCCATTGACAACTATGGGATGCCCCCTTATGTATGTTTTTGTTGATGATGTTTTTATTGTTGATAAGACTAAGGAGGGAGTTGAAAGAAAATTTGAATATTTAAGTGGGAATAATCTAAATTAACACATTTATAATCAGTAGTCTTATTTTTGCTATGACAATAACCAAAAAAACATGGAGAAGTGTTAAGTCTTTCTCTGGAACGAAAAACAACACTATTTCACTTTCTCTTATACAAGCACTCTTGCAATTACAAGCACTTTAGGTTCCACTAAGATTGCATTTTTTTTAATATAACAAAAAAAAAAAAAAAGAATGAAAGGGGAAAAAGCAAGGGCCACGCAAACTCTTGTTCCTCCTATCACAAATTATGATGCCCGCTCTCCCACTTGGGGTGATGGTAAGCCATCCAAAGTGCAATGGAAGTCACTGACTTGGGCATGGGACCTTACTAATGAGCCCTACACCCTGTCCAGGTAAGTACATTTAATTAGGTACTTTATGATGTATTCTGATAGTTGGTGGTAAGGATTTTTTTCTTTGAATACTAATCATCTTTGATAATGATTTGAACTATTTATATCTAATTCACATTAATTTAGTGTGGTTTCAGAATGAGCGCACTGATCTTTGAATTGAATAAATGTTGTAATGATTTTATTTTGCTGAGTTTTTGCAGAAGCAGCACAATCCTGCAGTTTGATACTGGATATTGTAGAATCTGCATCACCAAATGGTTTGCCAGGAATCTTCAGCAAAGGTTGTAGATTGCAGGAGACAATCTGTAAGTCTGTTGAATTACTTCCTGAATTGTGGAAAATGGCTGATAATCCTCATGGAGCCATCTCATCATATCGCCGGGCTCTTCTTGGACGGTGGAACCTCGATCTTGTGGTCATTGCAAAGATACGGAAAGAATTTGCTATTTTTCTTCTTTATGGTGGTTGTGATGCAGGTCCACCTAATCTGCATTCTCAAATGGATGGTTACTTCACGCCTAAGAACAATGTGGAGGAGGCTATCCTTCTTTTAATGATTCTCTTGAGTGATTTCAATGAGAAGAAAGCTGAATGGGATCCATCAATAGTTGAGCACCTTACTTTTGCACTGGCGATCTCGGGTCAGCTAAGACCTCTAGCTAATAAGTTTGAGGAATTGCTTCCTGGTTTTCTGAATAGAAAGGAAAGATATTATCAACTTGCGTTATGTTATCTAGGAGAGGGTGATAGTTTGACTGCCTTAAACCTACTGAAAAAGATTTTCAGTGATAGAGAGGGTCCAAATTGTGTTAAAGATCTCCTACTAGCTTCCAAAATTTGTGGGGAGAGCAGTGCTAATGCAGAAGAAGGTGTATCTTTCTCACGAAGAATGCTTGCTAGTTTGGATGGCAGGTGTGAATCACTTAAAAGTGTTGCCAATTTTTTACTTGGCGTTTCTCTTTCAGCTCAGGCTAGGTCATCTGCTTCTGATTCCGAAAAAGTTGCTAAACAGGACGAGGCACTTGAAGTTCTTGAAAAAGCTGAGAAATTTATGCAAGTAAAAGACTATAGAGTAATATATCACCTCAGCTTAGAAAATGCAGAGCAGAGGAAGTTGGATGTAGCACTCTATTATGCCAAACAGCTGCTGAAATTGGAAGCTGGGTCAAATGTGACGAGTTGGATTCTTGTTGCTCGAATATTATCAGCGCAGAAGAGGTTCATTGATGCTGAGACTATTATTAATGCTGCTCTGGATCAGACAGGAAAATGGAGCCAGGGAGAACTTCTACAGACTAAAGCCAAAATTCAGATTGCACGAGGGCAACTAAAGAAAGCAGTGGAGACGTACACTGATCTTCTTGCTGTCATCCGACTTCGTACTAAAAATTTGGCTGTTGGAATGAAGTGTTCAAAGGTTACATGGCAATCCTTTTCGCATGTTTACATAATTAATCCTTTATTTAGAGTATCAAAGTATTTCTGTCATTGATTAGCAAGATTATCTTTATTTGATGTCCGTAGATCTTGCCAAACCCCTTCATTGTCTTAAGGCATCACTACTTGCTTATTGCATTCATCTCGTGAGATTTACCAGTTGGCTAGTACATCAAATGCCCTTTTCTGATTCTTACATTCAAAGTTGCGTATAGTTTCTTATTTTCTTTTCTTTTTCATTTGACAGATTGCTGAGATAGATAGAAAATTGGAAATGGGAACTTGGTATGATCTGGCTAATGTTTATACAGGCATGTCCCATTGGAGGGATGCTGAGGTTTGCATCTCCAAATTGAAGGCTATTAGTCCTTACTCTGCTTCAGGGTGGTATGCCACAGGTAATTCTGATGCGTACATTTATTTAAATTTTAATTTTCGTTTAACTAATGATTGATGTTAGCAAAAAGGATTTTATTACTGTGGGTTAAAAAATTTTTAGCTTTTAGGGCTCTAGCCTCTCCGCGTTATATTCGGGGAGAGGTTTAATAGATTAAGTTCAGGGAGAAATTTTCGGAAGATAAATTAGATAAAAATAAGACACTGCCCAGAGATTTCACCCTCTTAGCGAGGACTTTAAGATCTGAGTCCTGGTTTCTTATAGGTGCAATCTCCTATAGTTAATTACTTCTCCCAATAATGAGAGAGAACTTTCGATTAAGGCTAGTCGTTTAGTCGTTGAACAAATATGTAGTATCCAACGTATAGTAGCAGCATATTTAGAATTTAAAATTAGAAATTTTATTACCTATCACTTAAAGCCGATGATAGGGGAATGATAAGGAAATCTATCAAGATCCTATGGTTCTGTTATCCCAGGTCATCATGGTTCCTAGTCTACTTAGTCAGAAGAGGTATTCGATCTAATCTGACCGAAGGATCCTTGTCGTTAACCATGGGTTACTTTGTATAAGTGTACTTTATAGACTTGGGGTGACTGTTTGTCTAAGGAACGAATTCAAGTTAACCTTAGTTAATATAGGCTTTATGCCACATCGATTATATCCTATAATTCATTACTCAATGGTAAATAGTCATCGGGGAATATACAGACTTTTAGCCATGACCGAAATAAAGCGGAGTCGTTTAATCAAGTCACTAGGTCAGAGGGTTGCGATCATAATCCTTTACCACATGGGCCTATCCTGGTCAAGCCAAGGGTTATTTGTGGAGCCGTCTGGCCAAACAACCAATTAGATGACCAATCATAACCAAACCAAATAGAGCCATAGCCAAGTTACGAGTTTTGTGAAGCCATCTGGCCAAGCCATCAATTAAAGGACAACTACCACATCCTTACTAGCATAAAATAATTTGAGAATGAATCTGAGCGATGTTCTCGACTTGGCATTTGTTCTTTGTAAGCTAGAGTTATTTTTGAGTTCATTACACTCATCAAATGGGTGCGGAGTTTAAATTTTAAAAATTAATATTTTGATAAACATTGAGTTTTTAGTTTGGTATATCTTTGAGAAATTATCTCTCCGGTTGATATTTATATTCAACGCCGCTATCATCAGAGCGAAATTAATGTCATTTCAAAATATTTGTATTTTGTTAAAGTTTGGAGGCATTTGAAATAGTGGAGTGCTCTCTGGTTAATATTAACTTTTAACACGACCATCATCAGGGATGAAATAATTGATTATTTGAACTTTGTCAACTCTATTCGCCCGTTAAAAGAGGATCGCGTTTGACGATTGATCTCGTAAGTTACTGTACGAACACTAAGAACTGAGAGCTTTATGTTTTATGATGCATTTCATCTAAAGAGCCTTTAAAGGCCTAATGTGAATTTTAGATTTAAATATCCCATTGGATTAGTGATTAGCCATTCACTCGTTAATTCATGTTGTGTTGACTCCAGTCTTTTCCAGGAGGATCAGACTTGAATATTTGTCCCATGTAGCATTATCGGACCTTTGAATTCGTTCAAAGCAATGGTCGGAGCGCATGCGGGTAATTAACTTGCCATATGATTTAACATTAAACGAGCTTTTAACCTCCACGCAGCATTCTCAAACATTTATGTATACACGTTTAGCACATTTGTCGGAGCACATGCGGTAAATTGACATGAATGTTTTTCAATACTATGCCACACTTCTTGTGGTGGTAACACTTCTCAAGACTGTCGCATTCTTCCCGAGACTGCTGCATGCTTTTGGAGGCAACATGCATATGTTTAGAATTTGTATTTTAATGCATGAGAGGAATTTTAAAATTATTTAAATTTTATTATTTGTGCAAGTGATTATCATTGGAGTTTGCACAAGATTTCATTTAGTGGCCTACAAATGCCTTATGTCTGCTTATACAAGTGTTGTGTATCCGATGGAATAAAAAAGTATTAGATTTCAGTTGTTGTATGTAGGAGAGATACTGTTTAGTTTATTTTGTCTCCTTCAAGTTACCATTTAGCATAATTCTTAGATAATATTTGTTCAATCAACACTAGGAGATCATGTTCTTTGCTTGTAAATGAGCTATATTGTTCGCTACAAATCCCCTATTTTTGCCTATAGGCTAGTTATTATGTATATTACCAATACCCTGCTCAGGTGAATTGTAACGTTCATTACATGTCACTTATTTCTTGTAAGTAGACTGTTGTGCGTTGCAAGCTTCATCAATATTGCCTATGGGCAAGCTATATTCATCATAAATTTACTACTTCCGTCCATAGGTCGGCTGTTGTGCAGTGCAATATGAGTCTATTTCCGTAAATAGTATATGTATTCTTTGCAAGTTCATTGATATTACATGTAAGCAAGCTGTCATATTCGTTACATATTTCCCATGCTTTACTCATGAGTAGGCCATTACATTCATTGCAAGTACGTCATTCTTATAGATCAATTGTTTTGTTCACTAGAAGTTCTTGTAGTCAATTATAGGCAAGCTGTCATACTATAAATTCTTTATTCATACCCATAGGCAAGTTACTATATGCTACAAATCTCTTGCTTAGCCTTTTAACGTTATGAATTTTATTTAGTTATAAGCTAACTTATATGTTCATTAAGGTCCGGTTCCTCGTACGTTTATTTAAGTCATTATTTTCATTGAAAGTTTTAATTGTGCAGGTCATATATAAATTTCTAAGTCCAATAACAGTTAAGAAAAAATTTTGGCAGCCTTCCGGCGTCTCCCCCGCTTAAGAGGATTTTTTGGAGAGGTAGGCATGCCCATCATGATACGAAAAGCGTGTATGGTTGGTGTCAGGTGACACCATGACTGATATCTTCAATCCCACCATGCTATGACAAGCGTGTATGGGCTTTTGAGGTACCTGTACGAAAGTTTGCAATTTTCCTGCCGACATAAAAGCTGTACAAGTACTTAGGAGCATCCCTGTCATGTTCGAAAAGCGCATACAGGACCTACCCTCTGCTCCGCTAACATCGCCTTCGACTTTCTCCTACCGTGCTACAAAAAGCACGTACAGTGGGTTGCACGTTGCGCCGCAAACATCGACCACAAGATTTTAGGTTTAGAGTTTAGCAAGCATTATACCTTTGCAGGAGCAAGGGGACGACGACATAATTGAGAGCACGAGATTTCAAAGCACAAATCTTTTTTATTAATTTTTATTTTTGCTTTCTCTCTTTTATTTTTTGATTTCTCTCTTTTTTTAACTAATAATAATAATAATAATAATAATAATAATAATAATAATAAAGAGAGGAAAGTGGAGAGTTTGGGTTATGTGTTTTGGGAGAATAGGAGGCCCTTAAGGTGTGTTCGGCTAGGAATTGAAGTGGGATTTGTGTAGTAGGTAGTGTTAAGTGTAGTGGGATGTAGATGTATTTAAGATAATGTGGTGTGGGTTTTTAAGGGAAGTGGTAGGGAGTTCGGTTGGATAGCTGGGAGGTATGTGAGGTGGTTGTGCCTACTGATGTATGGGTAAGGCTGTAGAGGAGCTAGTTCCCATGGCTATGAGGGAGGAGTGGGGTTCGGTCTGCTACCAGAGAAAGAAGGGGATATCTGTGAGGGAGCAGCTGTCGTGGACTTCTCTTGCATGAGGAGAGGTACTGGTTGTTGGTTTGTGGTTGTGTAAGGAGGAAGGTTGGTGGGCTGGGCCATGAGGTAGAGTAGTTGTGAGGGCTGATTTGCTAGAACAGAAAGAGCATGAGGTTTGGGGAGGCCGTGAGGTGTTTGGCAGTGCAGGTCTTTGGGTCGAGTAGCTGCGTAGGTGGACGGGAGTGGGAGTTCAGTTTGTATATGAGGAATAGATAGTGGAGCTGGTTTAGATTTGGATTTTGGAGCGTTGAGAGGCGGAGCTGCTATGCAGGCAGGGGTGTGAGGGGAATAGAGAGGAGTTATGGCTGTTTCAGTCGAATAGAGAGATGGAGGGAGAGATTTGGTTGGAGAGATTGAAGAGGGACTGGAGATGAGGAATGAGGGAATAGGAGGAGAATGGTAGATCGGGTTGAGGTAGTGGCTTTTATGAGTGGGAGCTTCTAACAGAGAGAGTGAGAGGGAAAATGAATGAATGGGCTGTGGATGAGATCTCAGTTAAGGGTTTAGTTTAAATAATGTCATTGTTTATTCTTTCCTTCTGTTTTCTAGCTTACCATCATTTATGAGTTTACCGGGATGGGTGGCTATGCAGAGTTTTGGATAGGGATTTTGCCAGGGGAATGGGGAATTGGAAGATTATAGGGAATATATTAGATTAGGATTTCATTTTTAATATATATATTAATATGTATTGATTTAAATTTAATAAACTATTGTTATTAAATAATAATAATAATAATAATAATAATAATAATAATAACTATGAATTGATCCTTGCAAACTCCCTCATTTCTCGTGCATCTCTGTTTACGTGCCATTGTCGCAAAACTCATACAAATTTTTGAGTTTTCGCTCGTGCAATAGCCCAAACAATATTACAGTATTTCAATATTGATTTTGACGCTCCGGGCATAATAGTGAAGTCTATTTTAGGAACGGACGGTGTTCGGGCAATGTCGAGCAACATTTTGTTCTTAGTTTTTTTATTTTGGTTGTCTTCACTCAATCAATCACAAGTGGTTATTCCTTAGGTAATTTTGATATTCTTAGTGCAACAGTGAAGTCCGCTTCATGATCAGGATGCCTTTTCGAAAATACTTGAAGATTTCAAGTAAACGCTAATAATAAAGACAAAAAATAGCAAGAACAATCCACAAATCCAAGGGAAAAACAAACAAAACAATAGTTTTTATTGCAATTATCAAACTAACAGAAGAAAATAGCAATATACAATTGATCCTCAATTCGAGAGTGGATCTATCTCTCCCAATCCCTAGACGCCGCTAGAGCCTAAGACACCAAACTCTAAAAACAATAA